GCCAATGTTCCCTCTAAGCTGTGGAGTCTTGTGAGCAAAAATTCTACTTTGTGAGCTACTGGCATTAAAGTTGTGAGCGAGTGATTTGGCTACTGCATAAATTAGTTTGCTCTGGAGCCATCCTTCCTGAGCTGAGACCAATGTTCCCTCTAAGCTGTGGAGTCTTGTGAGCAAAAATTCTACTTTGTGAGCTACTGGCATTAAAATTGTGAGCGAGTGATTTGGCTACTGCATAAATTAGTTTGCTCTGGAGCCCTCCTTCCTGAGCTGAGACCAATGTTCCCTCTAAGCTGTGGAGCCCTGTGAGCAAAAATTCTACTTTGTGAGCTACTGGCAATAAAGTTGTGAGCGAGTAATTTGGCTGCTGCATAAATTAGTTTGCTCTGGAGCCCTCCTTCCTGACCTAAAACAAAAATGTGTGAGCTGGAGGCTAAAAAACAGTGAGCTCGCTCACACGAACTCAGCTTAGAGGGAACAGTGGCTGAGACAAAAATGTGTAAGCCGGAGGCTAAAAAACAGTGAGCTAGCTCACACTAACTCAGCTTAGAGGGAACAGTGGCTGAGACAAAAATGTGTGAGCCGGAGGCTAAAAAACAGTGAGCTTGCTCACACTAACTCAGCTTAGAGGGAACAGTGCACGTGGCCTGGCCCAACAAGGTCTCATTTATGTCAGATCCGGCCCTCATAACAAATGAGTTTGACACCCCTGAAGTAGCAGGTATTTGACTTGCTGTGGCATCTGCAAGAGCTTGACACACAATCCGAGGGCAGGGTTCATATCACAGCCTGGCGTGGTTGTTAAAAGCGGCGGCCTCTAATCTGGAGAGCGGGGCTCGATTCCCCAGGCTTCCACCTGAAGCCTGCCGGGTGAGCTTGGGCCAGTCAGCGCCCTCTCAGAGCTCCCTCCGTCCCACCTACCCCACAGGGCGCCTCTTGCGGGGAAAGGACGGGAAGGCGAGTGTAAGCCGCTCTGAGACTCCTTCGGGGAGAGAAAAGTGGGGTATAAAAACCAGCTCAAAATCACGCGAGTGGTCCAGTCTTTGGTGATGTTCCAGTCACTCGTCCAGCTAGTCACTTAGCTTTTTGTTACGTGGTGAATAAGGACACTGTGTGATGTGTGTGTGCGCGCGCGCACAAACTGTCTAAATATTGAAAGACTGAGAAGCCAGTTTGGTGTCGTGGTTAAAGAGTTAGGATAGGAAATATCCAAATATGAAATGGTCAGATTGGTGACAAAGGACTTCTTTCTCAGAACAGGGGATGCAAGTTGGGGCAGTTTCCTACTGATTTTTTGGTAGAATTCCTGGTTTGTCTTAACTGAATTAGTTCATCGAAACTGTGCATTTTTAGAAATAGAATGTTTTTCTGAACATAGTGGTGGAAAAACTTTCTGCCCCTCATTGCTGCTGGAGAAGATGCAGCCCGGTTGGTATTGTGGTCACTGTTCCCTCTAAGCTGTGGATTTTAGACTGTAAACTAATGTCAGTGGGGGGGATAGGATAGGAAATATCCAAATATGAAATGGTCAGAACAGGGGATGCAAGTTGGGATAGTTTCCTACCGATTTTTGGTAGAATTCCTGGTTTGTCTTAACTGAATTGGTTGATCGAAACTGCATTTTTAGAAATAGGATGTTTTTCTGAACATAGTGGTGGAAAAACTTTCTGCCCTTCATTGCTGCTGGAGAAGATGCAGCCCGGTTGGCATTGTGGTTGAGAGAAGTCATTAGAAGCAGAACATTATCAAAAGCATCTCCCCCATGGGTGGGGTAAGGTCATGGCTCAGTGCCAGAGCACCTGCTTTGCATGCAGAAGGTCCCAGGTTCAATCCCCAGCCTTTCGGGTTAAAGGGATGATGATGTGAAAGATTTTGTGGATTTCAGTTGCTCTACCCGAGACCTTGGAGAGCTGCTGCTGACATTACTGACTTGTGTGTACCAACTTCTGGTGACCCCAGCAAGGGGCTTTCAAGGCAAGTGAGAAGCAGAGATGGTTTGCCATTGCCTTCCTTTGCAGAGTCTTCCTCGAAGGTCTCCTATCCAAGTACTAACCAGGGCCAATTCTACCTAGCTTCCGAGATCTGACAAGATTGGGTTGGCCTGGGGAGGTGGTAACATATAAGGCCCTAATTCCTCATTTGTAGTCATTTTTTTCTCCTTTGAGGAAAGATGTCTTTGTTTCTTGCATAAAGTTTTGAGCTCCCAGAATCTCCAAAGAGTGCTAGCAGGATAAAGACTCAGTCCAGCGTATTAGGCTTGTTCTGGCAAGATCAATTGTACTTTGGATGGTCTGTTGTAGTTATTTCCTTAGCAATTCTTAATCAAGAAGATTTCTGGGACAGTTTGACTTGCATTGGTAAAGTATCAGTAACTCCTTGAATAAAGAGCTTTCAAATGTACTGAAGATTGATGCTTCTGTCTCTTGCACGAGAGTCTGTATATTTTTTCAGTACTCTTTTCAGTTTTGCTCCCTTGTTTTTATCTGAAGTCAGGCTGTTGGTCCGTCTCTCATGGTATAGTCTACTGTGGTAGGTTTCAGTGCTCTCTTCTCTCAGGCAGTGATTTTACTGAAGTTTACTGAAGTTGCTAGGAGTTGAACCTGGAACCAGTTTGTACTCTAACATTGGACTCTGGTTTCACCCCATCCTTCTTGATTATACTATGGCTTATATAAGTACAGGGGGATTAATCTGAGACTGGCGAGACAGCAATATTTGCCCGTTCATTTTACATTGATACTGGTGTAATGATCAAAATTTACTCAAATGTTCCAGAAGATCCTATTCACTGAAAGGATATGTGCATGTTCCCTTGGGGAGGTGGAAACATTGGAACATATTTTCATTCATTGTCCTCTTTATAAGGAAGTTAGGGACAAGGCAGTCCTCTCTATTCTGGAACAGTCTATGCTTCTATTGGATAAGATATCCTTGAAGAAATTACTGTTTGATGAAATACCAGCAATCACTAGAGTGACAGCTAGATTCTGTGCCCAGGTGATTAAACAGAAGAATAGTTTAAATAGGCGCTTCGCTCTGTGATGTAGATTTGAGAAGCCAGATTATATGTACGTTAATGTTTATTAATATATATTATTGCTGGATCATAACCTGGATGTATATTTTAGTAGTATATTTAGATCTGTATTTTTATCCTTAGCTACGTGATACTCAAATGTTTATATAAAGGGTGGGTTTTTTGGGTAGATACTCTTGGGAAAAGGTGGGATCTTATGCTGTATTCTGTTTCCTTAGTAAAGCCGAGCATTGTGTTACAGTTTCTTCTCTAGAACCGGAGAAAGGCAAAAGTACATGTGAGAAGAGTGCGTGCGACATATCAAGAAGGTTACGAAAGGTAGTATAGCTGAAAGTGAACATTACAGAAAGATTGCTCTTTTTCTAGCTCTGAACTTGTTCAAAAAACAAATACAGTGAAGTTGAAGATCTTGTTCCACAAGCAATGACAGCAGGGGCGGGGTGGGGTGGGGAAGGAAGCTGGCATGGTCTGAAGGGGGGGGGCTGGTTCGGCTTTGCCATTTGTGAGAACCAAGAGGTGCTCTCATGCTGACCTCCAGCTCCTCCCTCGTGGTACTCCTGGGAGGGCCCCGTCCTCCACAAAGAGCATTTCGGCCTGGAGAAGGAAGTAGGGAGCCAGTCATGCTCCACTGCTGGAAAACATGTCCCATCAGGAGAGATTTTGTATGGGATCCAACCTTTGGTATAAACCATTAGGGTAGACACTAAGCAGGAGGCTGTAACGTCCCAATACACAAAATAGTGGAGGAATGTTTAAAAAACAACAACAAAGGGAGGAGGATGACCATGGAAAGCTAGAGAGGACAGGAGGCCAAAGGCAGGAGGAAGGGATGACAAGAAAAGGGTAGGGCGAAGGGAATTGGCTAGCCTGGAAAAAACAACAACCCAAAATCGCGTCTTTCTTCGCATGTCTCAGCTGATGACTGGACATGTGCGCTGTCCTTCTGGGGGCATCCAAGCGTCTCAGGACATTTAGGAGAAGAGCCCCATTTTTCTGCATCTGAGTGTTTCGAGCATAGAACCGTTAACTTGGCCCTGGCTGTGCTATGCTTCCTCATCTTCAAAACTTGGGCTTCCTTCCCTATTAAGTTTCTAACACAGAATGCCTTTTTATTGGCTGCCAGGAAAATAAGGAAAATGGCATTTTCTCCCCTTGAAGCTCCTTGTTTATTGCCTCTCACAATGATATATTGGCACTTAGTGGCTCTTTGAATTCTTTACCTCAGAATACCAGCGCTTTGGTCTTCATATTATGGAGGTGTTGGTTGCAACTCCATTAAAATAGAATTAAACTGTGCACTTCAGAAGAGATTAGAATCTCAATGTTTTCGTGCTTCGCTGGTTGAATTCAGTCCCCCAGTTCAACTCAATAACTCTTCAAAAGACAATTAAATTTCCTACGCAAGCGTTTGCAAAAAAATATTTAGCAACATTAGCATTGAAAATGTTTTGAATACATATCCTAAAATAAAAACTAATTTTTTTTCACTTGAAATGGTTTCCTTTTCTTGAATATATTTTAACGCTGAATCTTCTAAATTCAGTGTTCCTTTTAAGTATTATGAGGTGTTTCATCATATGTAAGCCATCCAGAATTCATTACATGTTGTTGTAAATATCTAGCTTAATTTCATTGTTGTTGTTATATAACTGTTATATTTTTTCTGTTTAAAATAAAATAAAAATTTAACTAAAAAACCCCCTGTGGTTCTAAATGTGCTGTGTCTACTGCTGTGCACTGAGCAGTCGTCCTCCCCCCTCCCCCCGAAACTGTTCATGACAGTGCCTTCGGCTTCTCTTAAATGTAGTTATTTTATTAAAAAATGGCTGCGATCAAAAAGACCATGAACTTTTGACTTTTATTCCTGGTTATGAAAAGGTCACATGTCCCATCTTGCTCAGGACATTGCATTCCACAGAGAAACATGTGACTTGGAGGGGGGGCGTGTTTTGGATTCACATTGAATTCGACTCATAGAGTTCGTTCAGCCCAATTCTTTGGCATTTTACCAACTCAGCCCTTGCCATCCTATACAAGATATTTAATGGTTCCTCATTATGCTAGGGCGTTTGCTGTAGTTTGTCTTAACACTGGCCCTTCGGAAGTATTGCATGGGAGGTTTTGTAGTAGTCCATATACAGATTGTTTTTGCCGTGTCCTGGGCAAAATGCATGCTTGATCTCGTAAAACTGGAATGTTCCTCTTATACTGTTTCTAGGAATCGATGGAATTTACCTCTCCTTTACATTTATTCTTCAGTAATATTCAAAGGGATGTTGTTCCCTGTCTGATGCTAGACAGTGATCCAGACGTAACCTTATCGGTTGCTACATTCCTGTCTATCGTATTTTCCTTCAGAAACTGATTGAATACTCTTTTAGTCATTTCTCAAGATCTGTTGATCAGCTGAGCTCTGGATAGGAAAGGAAGGATGCACACTGGATGTCCTCATCTGGAAACTGCCTTCCATGTGCGGGGGTACCCCTTGGGATGTAGTTGGCATAACCAGAAAGGTCGTATGCTGGAGGAAGATCCATATTTGGGGGTTGGCATACCTTGCCCCTGCCTTGCAGTTCCATCGTCAGACTGTTGGTTTTGCTCTTGGCTCTGACCCTGCCAATCAGCTGTGAAATGGGGGGGGCACAGTTATAGCCACCCCCTCACATAGGCACCTCCACGTGCACACAATTCGATCTACTGCTCTGTGTGGTACCCTATAATCGAGTCCATGTACAAATAAAGTAAAAATAGGTGGGGTTTATATTTTAACTTTGTCAATGACTACGTTTTCTACAGTACAAAGTCTGAGTCCAGTGGCCCCTTTAAGACCAACCAAGTTTTATTGGCTTTCATGTGCATGCCCACTTCTTCAGATACATTGAAGCAGAAGTCACCAACCATTGCATATAGGTAGAGGGGTGGGGTGGGGAGGATGTTGCCAGGAAGGACTGATTAGAGTCAAGATGCAGACGTTAACTGAACAATACATTTGGACTCAAACTTCATTCTGCTGCTTCGGACCAACAGGGTTACCCACCTGCATCTATGTTTTCTACATTCCTCCCTCTTCCCCCCCCCCCCCCCTGAAAAAACGTTGATGTTAAATGATGATGAATGCCTTGGCATTATATTGCTGTAGGCGAATCAGATTTTTATGTATTATGTGTTCAGTCACATCCTTCTCTGCAGTGCAATGCCAGTCCTTTGCCAAAGTTGTGGATTCTTTTGTTTGCACTTGCAGAGAATGGGAGGGATCCGCTGGAAGAATTCACAGAAGGTGTCGGCAGAGTGGATCTTTCATGGCTTGGGTTACTAGACGAGAGAAGAGGCAGTTTTACTTGATAATAATAATAATATTTCAATTTATTGATCACTCAATCCTTGCAGAGCTGCCGGCTCTGAGCGATTTACAGTTACTCATGTGTTGACACGGGACTAACAATGATGGGGGTAAGGGAGGACAACATATATCATTTTTAATCACACACACTTCGCAGTCGACAGGGAGTTTGGTCAGCCGTAAGAATCAGACGTGTTCCGGCAGCATTCTTTTTAGTCGGCGTCGCTCGATGTCGTCAGCATTTTTCTCAGTCGCGGCGCACCACTGCCACCGTCTGGCCGGAATGGCCCATTGCGGGCTGTTCTTTGATGCTGCGTAGATCTCTCTCGGCTTTTGATCTTACGCGCGGACCTTCCGTTTGTCGGCTAACACTTCCCCACCGGGGGGTTAAGTGTGCCCACCCTCTCTAAGGAGTGGTACCCATTTTATCTACTCGCCGAAGCTTTCGAACTGCTGGGTGGACGGCGAGCTGGGGGCACGGCTGGTAGCTCACACCAGTGCGGGGCTCGAACTGACAGCAGTCCTGTTCAGCTCAGATGTTTGACCAGAGGATAAATCCCCTGTGCCACCGCTCCCCTTTGATTCCCCATTGTTGCTGCAGGCCCCCCCCCCCCCCCCCCCCTCTGACCCCCCCCCGTTCCTGTAATGTGTTTGCCTGCAAGGATTTCCTGATCCTCAAAGAGGAGTTCCAGGACAAATGCCTGGCTCCTTGAGAGTCTCATTGAGAAAAGGCTGCTATAAGGGAAGGAAATAAATGCCAGGCTGTTTACGGAAGAAGATAGATGGGGAAGATCTGATCTGCCGATGCCGTCTGTGAATTCCTGTGGTGGACCCACTCTTTATTACCTGCCTGGATAAAAATGTGCTGGAGATGTGCAGTTTCGGATTTTATGATTCCAGCCAAACTATAATTGCTGTTTTCTCTTCAACATTAGGATTCTGTGTTGAATTTTCATTTACTCCTTCAGGTTAAGCATATGTTTCAAAACTCCTGAGTTTGCAAGTGGAGGAACTGTTGCTTTAAAAGTCTTAGTAAGGAAACCTCCATAAAGCATTAATCATAATTGCAGGCCCTGTCCCCGTGGCCCCTTTGGGGTTGCTCATGGTTCCTTCAAGCTGTAAGTGGACTAGATGCGGCGCCTGCCCAATTGACAGAGGGACTTTGTGAATCCTCTGTACGCAAGCCATTGGGAGGGGGCGGTGCTGCGTTTAAGGCATTTGAAAAGAGTCAGTGATGAGAAAGAGAGAAATCCTAAAAATGTTGTTCTCTGCACATGCTTGAAAAGTATAAGAAACATTTTTAAAATTAAATTTACGAATCTTCCAACCCCGCAAGCGGGCTCTGGGCAATTTACAACCTTAAAAGCAATTAAAATACAATCAGCATTAAATTGTCACAATGCTCCAATAAGTTAACCAGTCCAGATGTCGATAGAAGCCCCTTTTCCCGGCTGCAATCGGAAACCCTTTGAAGAGTGTATCAAGACTAGCAATTAAAACAGAAATCATTCCAATTTATTTAATAGCTTTGGTTAGTCAGTCATATAGTATCACCTGTATTTTGTTTTATCTAGGCAAATGCCGAGAAACCTGAATGAAATGGTTCCGATAAAATTTGTTACACTGTAGTTACAATTAGCAAGACTATTTAACGTGGCCCCCCTCGTGATGCAGAGAAAGACGTGAACAAATGTATTTCTGCCTTTTTAACAAATTAGTTTACTCTTATCTCAGACTGCAGGGACTTCACGGCGCTAAATGGGTTACTTGCCAGTCGTTGGAACAGAGTTAATGATATTGACTTATTCTGTAAAGCTATCTAGGAGATAAAGAAGAGCTCTGCTTCTAATATTTCCCCACCCCCAACCGTTTCTGTTTCCTTCAGGCGAAAGACCTAATAGAGAAATTTTTTAACCAACAAGTTCAAGTTCTTGGAAAACAGAAACCCCCCCTGCCTGAGATCTACTATATTGAAGGCACTCTGCAAATGGTGTGGATTAACCGCTGTGCTCCGGGCTATGGAATCAACCCTCTGCTGCACCCAGATTGTCCTCATTGCTGCGGTAGGTGGAAAGTGTGGACTTCCTTCCGGTTTGATGCCTTATTTTATTTTTTAAGTACCAGATCCCCTTTTCAGTTTTATGTAAATGTGACCGAAGTTTATACGGCCTTTCCCCCTCTTCCCTTCACATGCCTCCGTGGTACCTTATATCGCTAAACAGACAATCCCAGTTTTTAGGAGGGTCTTTATGCTTGCAAGGTTCAACCTTTTCCCTTCAGTAGTCGTCTCAGGTAGATACAGGAGTGTCCCGTACAAGGATAGACTTTGTAACTGTAATCTTGGGGAACCTGATTCTATTACCCATATCCTTCTTCGATGTCCTAAATATTCCATTATGCGCAGTATTCTGATTCGCCCTCTTCTCCCGTTGCAGAGAGATTTTCTGGATAGGGATTTAAACTTTTTTTTTAGCAGACAAGAGCCCAGCAATAACACTATCTGTCGCTGAATTTTTGACCTACGTATGGAAGTCAAGAGTAATACTCTGTAAATCTTGTAAACCATGTTAGGATTGCTTTGTATCTTGGGATCGGGAATACTGGTCGATGTTGTTCTTTGTACCTACCCTTAAACCCTGTCCTCTGTTCTGATTTACTTATGCTATGCCAATAAAGGTTTTCTGTTTCTGTTTATACGGCCTTGTTCTGTGATCCTAATAGACCAATGTGGCTTGTTGGACTGCTTGCACAGGCTAGAAACTGGAAAGTATCGTCTTGGATGTGTCGCAGAAGGCACTTGGGGAATGTGCTGTGCTGGCGTTTTGGGTGGCGCTCTGGGTCTCGCAGGAGACTTGTCTCTGTCAAGCAGCTCCTCTTGTGGTTGGGCCGTGTCATTCACACCAGTGCACGCTTTAGTTGATTAGTTGTACCCACGGCTATTTTTGGGCAGGAACGCACAGGAACGGAGTTCCAGCTGGCTCCCGAGGTGGCCATGCCCAGCAAGAACTCATTAGCATAATAGGCCACACCCAACAGCAGAAACTCGTTAGAATTGGCTACATTAGAGGTGTGTGGCCTAACATGCAAAGGAGCTCCTGCTACAAAAAAGGCCCTGGGTTTTGACAACAAAGAAGGTAAACAGAATAAGAAGCAAAAGGTGGGTGTGGCTGGATGAGCACACTTCTGGTAACATGGGGGTGCGGCCTAATAGGCGAATGAGTTCCTGCTGTTGGGTGTGGCCTATTATGCTAATGAGATCCTGCTGGGCTTTTTCTACAAAAAAAAGCCCTGGTTGTACCCATGTCTCTGATGGTCGTAAATGCAAAAACGAGGCTGAAATCCTAGAGGGCAGTGGCATACGTTGACGTTTCGGTACTGAGCATATTGAGCATATGGGGTTACGTTTTCAAATCACATTTATTCTCTGGCAGTTTCATCGTTTTAAGAGTCCAGTAGTATTTTTGGCTGCACTTAGACCCTTGGCAGATGGAAGACTCATTTGTTGGCAACCCAAGATGCATCCTCTGCAATGTTCAGACAAACTATACTAATTCTGTGAAGCATGTAAATTGTCTTCCATGACTTTGACGGGTTGGTCCTGTTTGCAGAGCTTGTGCGTAATTACTGTCTTTATGGTTGTCTCGCTCTGAAGAAGAAAAGAGATTGGATTTATACCCCGCCCTTCACTACCCAAAGGTGTCTCAGAGCGGCTTACAAACTCCTTTCCCTTCCCCTCCCCACAACAGACACCCTGTGAGGTAGGTGGGGCTGAGAGAGCTCTTGACAGAAACTGCTCTTTTTTCAAGAACAGCTCTTATCAGAACTACAGCTTGCCCAAGGTCATCCAGCCAGGTGCAAGTGGAGGAGTGGGGAACCAAACCCGGTTCTCCCGGATTAGAGTCCGCGCACTTAACCACTTCACCAAACTGGCTCTCTGACGTAATCCCGGGTGCCCAAGAGGCTGCCCATCTCTGCTAAGGGACCCGTCTGTGGCGCAAAGTTGGGGGTGACTGAAGGTTTGACTGGAAGATCTAAAAGAAGCTGGACCTCCGCTTTCTCAGTGGAGAGGTCACTGTGCTTTGCGTGGCAGCTGGATTTGTTTCGGAGGGGATGGATATGAAATAATAGCATCGCTATTTGCGTGGTAATTACCTGGAGTTACTTGAAACTTGTTATAAAGCCACGAGTGCTGCTGTCTGTGTGTGTAGTGGTGGTGGTGGGGCTGTTGGCATGACTTCTGCCTCAATCTGCACTTAAAATTTTTGTATTCCAAGGGTTATCCAATGAGTGAAGTGGAGTGTCATGTGTCAGTGTTGCGAGACGTCTCGGTTTAGGCGCAGCATCTAGGTTGACCCCAGTGCCCTGCGGCAGGAGTCTTTCTGGTGTAGTGGTTAAGTGTGCAGTTTGGTGTAACCAGTCTGGTGTAGTGGTTGAGTGCGCGGACTCTAATCTGGGAGAACCGGGTTTGATTCACCACTCCTCCACTTGCAGCTGCTGGATGACCTTGGGCAAGCCATAGTTCTCTCAGAGCTGTTCTTGAAAAAGGGCAGTTTCTGTCAAGAGCTCTCTCAGCCCCACCTACCTCACAGGGTGTCTGTTGTGGGGAGGGGATGGGAAAGGAGATTGCAAGCCACTATGAGACTCCGAGTGAAGGGCGGGGTATAAATCCAGTCTCCTCCTCCTCCTCCTCCTTTCCCAGAGAGCATTAAAGTGTCCTCTTCGTGCTGCAGCTGCAACAACACAAATAAAATCGTATCGCCCTGTATAATGTATGTACTGTCTTAATTCTCAAGCCCAGAATCAAATAGAAAATGTGGACTTAACAATACAAGGACAGATGAATGGGCTTTAGCTCCCTAAAAGCTTTGTGAGGTATGAAATGGTATCCCTATAAAATATATGAGGCAGAATATTTGGGGGATGCTTACGCTCATCAGGTGGAAGAAGCACCAGGGGAGCTCATGTCTTATGGATGTTTAACGTGTGAAGCAACCCAGGGCTGCTGCTGTTCCAGCATATTGAATGACAGTCTCTGGCTGGCCTTCGTTGCACTTGGGCAGCGTCCCCAGTGTGTGGCTTTGCTTGGGAATCGTTACGGGTCTGCTGTTTCTCTCCCATTCCTGACATTAGCAGAATGTGTGCAAAAGCACTTTTAAATCCCGGTTTGAAGGCTGTCCGTGCACCTTGGTGTTTAGTCATGCCGGCCACATGACCACGGAAACGTCTTCGGACAGCGCTGGCTCTTCGGCTTTGAAACGGAGATGAGCACCGCAACCCTAGAGTCGGACTCGACTGGCTTTCGCACAAGGGAGACCTTTACCTTTACCTTGAAGGCCTCAAGGGGCCGCGGTGGCTCCGAGGCTAAAACGCTGAGCTGCGGACTGGAAGACCTGTAGCTCGGCAGTTGTAGACCCGAGTGTGCCGCGTGACAGAGTGAGCTCCCGTCTCTGGCCCCGGCTCCTGCCAACCTCGCCGTCCGAAAGCAAGAAATTGCAGGTAGATAAATAGATACCGCTTCGGTGGGAAGGTAACAGCGTTCCGTGCACTTTGGCATTTAGTCATACCGGCCATGTGACCATGGAGAAGTCTTCGGACAGCACTGGCTCTTTGGCTTGGAAATGGAAATGAGCACTGCCCTTTAGAGTCGGATTTGACTCACTTTCGAGCCAGGGAAACCTTTACCTTTACTTTAAGGCCTCAAGGAAGGCTGGGGTCTCAAGGCCTAGGTGGTGGGAGTGTTTGGACCAGTGGGTATGGGCATCCCTGAGCTACTTTAATGCTTAGGCCATATCCCTGTGGTCCCGCCCTTCAGCCTTTTGGGACCAGCCAGAACCTCCACCTCACCTTTACCTGGCTGTGGTCATATACGGGCTGGTAGTTTGTGTGTGTGTGGGGTCCTTTGGGAGCCTGTCGTGCTCTGAAGGGCTATTCCTGGCTTTCATAACAGACCTCCGCCAACTGCATGGCCATTCACACGGTCCTCTGCCTTCTGTCGAAGTCTTGGGCATTAATCGTGCTTCACGTCTAATCTTCTCTGTGTCGTTGCAGTTTTAGTATATGTGCCGCCAAAGGGACTATCTTGAAATAATGGTAGCCAGTAGGAATAGGGACATTACCCTCAAAGTGGCAAAATATGGATGGATAGCCATTAACATGAGAAAAAAACTGGCTAGATATGATTAATAATAGGTAAACGAGATCCAGTAATAATTTGTATGATGTCTTTTATGCATGTGTAGTTGGTAGTGTTGGTAGTTTATAGCTATTAGCTCTAATGGATATTTAGATTTTAACGGTTATTTATAATTTTTATGTCCTGTTGTGCTCTGTTCTTTTCATGGTTGCTATGGCTGGAAGCTAATGCAATAAACCGACTTCACATCTGTGCAAAAGCCCCTACAAAGGCTGTTTTGCTTGTTTTTAAGGCTGCAGAAAATCAGGTAGTCCCTGAGTGTGCCCACGGGGCAGAGCACGGGGAAGCCCCACAGCCAAAGGAACTAACGCTTGGAGCCAAACTTCGTGAGACTTTTTAAGCAAGTCGAGTCTGGGTTCCCCGGAGCAGATTTGCTTTCCTGCAGCTGCACACCAGCTACGGGGAGTGCCCATCTAAAATTGTGGACGTGGCGTTCTAAAGAGGGGCAGAGCACCCCCACCAATGCTCCCTCTAAGCTGTGAAGTCTTGTGAGTAAAAATCCTACTTTGTGAGCTCCTGGCATTACAGTTGCGAGCGAGCGATTTGGCTGCTGCCTAAATTAGTTTGCTCTGGAGCAGTTTGCCCTCTAAGCTGAGCTAGTGTGAGCTGGCTCACAGTTTTTTAGCCTCTGGCTCAACACATTTTTGCCTTAGCTCAGGAAGGAGGGCTCCAGAGCAAACTAATTTATGCAGCAGCCAAATCGCTCGCTCACCACTTTAATGCCAGCAGCTCACAAAGTAGAATTTTTGCTCACAGGACTTCACAGCTTAGAGGGAACATTGCTCTGGAGCCCTCCTTCCTGAGCTCAGACAAACAATGTGTGAGCCGGAGGGTAAAAAACTGTGAGCTAGCTCGCGCTCACTCAGCTTAGAGGGAACAATGAGTCCCCCCACCCAGGGCTGTTTTGAATCAGAAAAATGGCATGGGGGGGTAGGAGCCCCTCTTCCCCGTGTTGTGGCCTGGAACTGAGCCGGGCCCCTGCAGAGCCCTTAGGCAGAGCCACTAATAATGACTTTACCGGCACTAGCTGGACAAGATGTGACGGATGCCGGTGGGTGGCTTCAACGATAGTCTGCTAGTGCTTTGGTGAGAGCCGGGGGCTTGATTTTTAGGGCAGAGGGTGACAGTGCTGAACCCCGGCTCTGCTGCTGCGGACCACTCCTTGCCTCTCCGCACAGGCATTTTCCTCCCATCTCAGTGCGGGGGTGGGGGGGAGGGAAGCCACAGGTAGTCAAGGGATCAGATCTGGACAATTTTTGCCTAGCAGGAGGCTTTGGCCATGGGTGCAGCAGAGCTACCCCCTCCCCCGGCCACTGCAGCCCATCAATCTCAAAGTGCTGGTCCAGGGGTGGGGGTGGGGGCATACCACAGATGCACAGCCTTCTCTCATATTACTTGTAGCATACCATCATCATCAATATCTAATAAAAAGTGGAGAGCTCATGCCCATCACAAAAGCAGCAGAATTAGGCCACCCACATATCAAGTAGGGGTTTCAATGCACTTAGGGCTGATAAGGACTGAGCATTTCCAAGAGGCAGAAAATGTTGAGAGGAGTTGAGAGCCAAGTACAGAAAAACAGAGTGGGGGTGGGAAATTGGCCTGTTCAAGCCAGGGAATTTATAAAATCTTGGAAGGGGAGATGTATGGAACATTTCCAGAATTATTATTCCCCCTCCTACAATTCCTCAGACCCCCAGTTTGCTGCCTCTAATAGTGAACTTCATGGTTGAGTCCTTTGTGTGAAAGCTGGCCCAAACCGTTCTGCTGATTTCCTAATAGTCCTGAGAGTGAACACGATGTCTTTCCAGCTGTGCCTGTTTATCAGAGCCGGGCTTGGGTCACTTTTTGGCCCCCCGCTCTTGTTGTTAGGGGAGCAGTTCTCCCGGCCACACATTTCTGGCTGCGCATTTCGGTCGGCATCGGGAGTGTCATGGGCAAGCTAGGGGGTGGGTGGGTCTGCAGCTGGAAGAAATGGCACCTCCCCTTCCATTCGTGGAACATTTAGTCTGCCTCCAGCCCAAGGGTTTAGTTTTATGGGGGAAGGAGGACGGGGAAAGAAGAGGGCAGCCCTGAAGACCAGCTGGCCCAAACCGTTCTGCTGATTTCCTAATAGTCCTGAGAGTGAACACGATGTCTTTCCAGCTGTGCCTGTTTATCAGAGCCGGGCTTGGGTCACTTTTTGGCCCCCCGCTCTTGTTGTTAGGGGAGCAGTTCTCCCGGCCACACATTTCTGGCTGCGCATTTCGGTCGGCACTGAACATCGCTTCCCACCTCCGTGTTACGCATGATCTCTCTGTTGACAGAGGCCATGCGATTTCTCTTGAGAACCCTTGTCCT